AATAAATAAATATATATATATATATATATATATATATATATATATTTATTTATTTATTTTTTTAATTTTTATATTATTCTTAAAATATAGAGCATTTTGTAATCGAATACGATTCGATGATAAATTAAACAGTGAAAATCTTATAGGATAAACATAATAATATTAATACAAATATAAAATAATAATAATAATACAAGTTTATTTATTTCTTTATTACTACTTAATTATTTGTATATGGAATTCCATACCCAGTTGGAAGGCTTAATTCACAGCAGAGTATTCGCGATATCGATTTGTGCAGTGCATTGTGGAGGTAAGTCCCCCAGCCACTTCTCACATAGATACGCATGAGTATTTGCAATCGAATGCGGCTTCCACAAAAATTCCTACTCACGATTTCAGCAGAGTCATTTGCATCCGCATCAAATACAAAATATTTTCAAAATTCAGTGTCAAGTGAGATTTTATTTGGATTTTAATGAAAATTTATCAACGGCAGCAGAGCAAGCTTGTATTAATCTGCCTAGACTGATTGAAACAACAGATCTGATCGGATCTCAGGGTATATCACAGTCGGTAGTTTGGAGTGTTAGGTAGAGTATTTATTATATTTGTTTTTGTTTTTTTTTCTCTTTACATAATTTTTTTTTTTTTTTTAACTAAGGTAATAATTTATAATGTCGAGGGCATAATAAATAATCAACTTTTTAAATATCTTTTATTTTACGATTTTTTTATCAACTAAGTGAATATTTTGTGTCGGTGCATTTGGTACAGACGAAATGGCTTTAACCACGGAAGCCACCGCCTGCGGCAGAAGAAGATGCGGAGGCAGATGCCGAAGCACCACCGCCACGACCACCACCTGCGGCAGAAGAGCTGGCCGAGGCTGACGAAGAGGCTGAGCCGCCGCCACCACCGCGATTAAATCCAGGACCACCAAATCCAGGTCGACCACCGAATCCTGGGCCACCAAATCCAGGACCACCAAATCCAGGACCACCAAATCCAGGTCTACCAAATCCAGGGCCACCAAATCCTGGGCCACCAAATCCAGGTTTACCAAATCCAGGGCCACCAAATCCTGGGCCACCAAATCCAGGTCGGCCACCAAATCCAAATTGAGGCAGCGCCGCCGCGGCAGCAATTAACAGGGCCAGCACGATGAAGATCTTCATATTGCTCCGAATGCTAGATGGATATCTTGTTTACTCTTTGAAGGGGGCACTCCAACTAATAGAGCAAGCCCAAGCCACCCGAATTTATACGCTGCGTGAGTGAGTTGCAAGCGATCGAACCACTCGAACTCAGACTCGATCGGTAGGTTTTGAGCTGCAAGTGAATGTCGAGTGGAGATGCCGCATCTCGCCCCAATTAACTTTTATTTTGTATTTTATTTGACTTCATTCTGATCAAAGCTTTCAACACTTTTAACGTTAGAGCAGAACTTCATAATCATGATCAGTTCAGCTGATAATTTCATTAGCCAATCAGATAATATCCACGTTAGCAGACAAAGTTCTGGCAAAATATATCTAAATGGAGAAGATAAGGTAGGTCTTATCTTGCATAAATTACTTGCATATGTATACGCTCATTAGCTGCTCTGATTAATCACAAATCATGTTCCTTCCCAGAGACTTGATTATTGACGATACGCTCACTAGAAGCGTGGCTATTGGGGAAATACTAAATCAGCCACGCATTTGTCTAAAAGTGCTAGAAATTCGCATTTTGTATATATATATATCGAGTATATTAACTGGAAATGATAAATAAAAAATTTTTACCTTAATTTTGAAGACTTTAAATTACAACAGAATCCTCGATCGATTTTGGATTGGGTGTAAGCATTATGCGCTGGGTATATATATATGATTAATAGTTAATTAATTATTATTAATAGCAAGAAGTATTTAAAAAGAAGAGAAGGTATTCCAAGAGATAGTTCAAAAAATTTGTTTTTCAACTAAATAAAGAGTTAATTAAAATGATTAGAATGAGTGAAATATTTGTACACATTCTTTGCCAACGCAAAAAGAGGGGCATTAAAGTTACGGATTGAAATAAAGCCCAAACAATTTTAGTTAATGTCTTACAAAAATAGAATGTTTTTCTGTTAAATTACTATTTGATTATCCTATAGAGCTAAGCGCCTTAAGCCACATATGTTAGCACTCGCCAATGGCACTATTAGAATTATTTTTCGACCCGGATTATGTTACTGCTGTGAATCATACACAGCCTTTCTAGAAACACTGAAACGTGGAAATTGGGTTTTCAGTTTGTTGTTTTATATATTTTGTAAGTCTTTTTAACATAACTTATAACTAATTTAGCGAACATTTAGTTAACTCAGGAGCTTCAACCAAAGAAGCCACCGCCTCCAGCAGATGCAGATGAGGAGGCAGACGCCGACGAGGAACCACCGCCTAGACCACCACCTGAGGCAGAAGAGCTGGCAGATGCTGACGAGGAGGCTGAACCGCCACCACCGCCGCCACGACCGAATCCGGGGGCACCGCCAAATCCAGGACCACCGCCGAATCCACCAAATCCAGGGCGGCCAAAGCCACCACCATAGCCGGGACCGAATCCACCACCAAATCCTGGACGTCCGCCAAATCCACCATATCCGCCGCCGAATCCACCGTATCCTGGACCACCAAATCCAGGTCGGCCTCCGAATCCTGGGCCACCATATCCTGGGCCAAATCCAAATTGTGGCAACGCAGACGCGGCGGCGATCAGCAGGGCAAGTACAATAAGGGTCTTCATATTGTTCGCGTTTTCTTTGCAGGTGACAGTGCGACTGATGGACCACAGCCGAGCCACCCAAATATATATGCTGTAAGTGTGAGCCCGAGACGACCGAAGCACTCGCACTCCGCCTCGATCGGTTGGGTGCGTGCGTGATAAATGAGTTGACGAACGGAGTTCGGACATCTCATGCCATTTACCGGTTTTCTTTGCTTTTATTTTTCATTATCAACTTTTGGCTTCATAATGAACAGACAGCGACATCATCATCGTGTTCAACATCAAACAACTTCATGATCTGTTTCGTTTGGCTAGCCGGCTTTGAGGTCTGTCACTTGACCGGGTGAATCCCAGAACAACAACACGAAACAACAACACGAAAGCAACCAAATTAAAATACATAATTATGTACATCGAATTGTTTACGCATTGACTTGATAAATACACTTATCTAAGGTTTGTTTACAAGTGGCTTATTAATAATGTTTCGCGGTCAATAATGATGCTTTGCTCTTCCTGGTTTGAGGAATTCCCCGCGTACCTACTACTTTTATATTGCTTGCTCGCTCTCTGGCTCTCTCTTTCTCTATCTCCCTATGTATAGCAAATTCTACTCCAAAGACTTGTTCATCTTGAAGAGTTTATTCGCCTTTATATCCAAAGCGGTTTCTATGGCGTTGTTACAAAGCAAATCACAAATAGAAAACAAATAAAATTTCGAGAAAAATCATCTCGCGTTCAGTTCATTTCATATGCGTCAAAAAACAAATTTAAAAAAAAAAAAATTAATTATAAAACATGTTTGATTAATACCCTTTGAGATGGGTGTGTTTATAATCAAAACCTTGAACCTACCTGAACATATTCTTATTATATGATTAGTATAAGTTCTATTATGCTCCTGATTTTGTATTTTTTTTTTCTTTAGATATATTTAATACTAATTATATATATTTGTATATTAATAATGTGTGTATTTTTTTTTAATATATAAATTTAATCAGTTATATTGATATTTAATAAGAAATAAATAAATAAGTCATATTAAAATTTATATATACAATATTAATATTCATTTAAAATTTATTCGTAACAAAATTTCGTTGCTTTGGTTTTAATAGCCTTCAGTGCCATCTGCCGATTTATGGTATTATTTTTGTTGTTCGCCAAATTCGGCCTACAACTTACTAATGAGAAATTATAATAGATTAGCAATGGGCTAGACTTGGACTTATTTGCATTTCGCGGACGTATTCCTATTTCACAACTACCTTTTCGAAATGTGAATACCCTTAATGTTATGATTTTAATTTTATTTTACGAATATAAAGTTTTCAAAATCTGAAAGCCATAAAAACTGTGAATGTGTAAATCATGGACATAAGAGCCTATTTTATATGCATGAGACAGATAGAAGAGGGCGTCTGCAGCCTTTTGAAGTATATTAATAATATTCAGCTGAATCAATAAATAGATAGGTTGATCTAGACCAATCTTTCAGTCTCTTATTGAATTAAGAACTAAATTTGAATACAAACATTTTTAAATAGATAAAAGATAAAGAAAACTAATCAATATCAGCAAAAATATATAAATATATGTATATGTAAAAAAAAGTTGAAATAAATATAAAAGATTCTCTTATTAGAACTTCTACTCAACTATCTGCTAGGCTTAAGCCATTCTCACTTAGCTCTTAAATATTATTCACCAAATCATATACAATCTTGGCTTAAGTGTAATTATAGCTATTAATTAAATATCAATGAGATACGACTTTTCACTTGAGCTTATAATGCCTCTCCAGTTGTTGACAATGAGTGTTAGCAAAACCTAGTACCAGTTGTGTGTAAAGATTCATTCACAGCCAAGTAACGGGGATTATTACTACCTGAGCACCTACACTGTATAGTATAGGGTAGTGTGTATTTGTAGTATGCAAATAGAACAATGATGATGAACACTTTCAGAGATCTGAAATCACAGCCGCTGCTGTAGGTGCTAATAAATAGGGAAAATACAAAAAATAATAATAATATACAATAGTTGATGTGATGTGGGGTATACAAGGCACATGGAATGGAAGAATAATGAGCAGAATAATATATAAATAAATAATCATATACAATATTGAAAGCAAAGTCAAACTGATTGGCAAATTAGTATCGATGAATAACATTATAGGAGAGAATTTATTCTCAGAGTCTTGCAAATGAAAGTAAAATCTTAAATAAATGTATACAATTGTTAGGGTTGTTAACCTTTGAAAGGCTCTTTAGTTACTTATCTAAGTAGAGAATACAGCAATGTGTCAAACTTAAACTTAAATACTAATAAAAAAATACTTAATATACCATTGTTAATTAACAAACAGCATCTTTCTAGTCTACTCTCTCTCTCTCTTGCTATACATATACATATATATATATACATATATATATGGCGAAACCAGTTTCAATGTCGTCATTTGAGAGATCACACGTGAACGAACTCGTCTTGAGTTCTAATGATAATATGACGCTATGCGACTCATCGTTCCAGGGGTTTTCCGACTGGTGAAAAGTTTTTGTGATTTTTGCATTTGGTCAAATGGTTGTTAAAATCAATACTAATTCAATAAATTAGCACCGAAATTTCGGGGAAGTCCGCCAGCCCCTTTCCAAATCGCCAACCTGTGCCATAAAATCGAGCGGTATAACAAATGATCTCAATTTAAATGTTTATTCAAGCAGCTTTAACCCAAAATGTAATCAAAGCTTTATCCAATTTCTTTTCTCTACTTTCAAATTTGTCACAACCTGAACTTATTTATTCATGCAATAAGGCGCCCAAGCAAACAAAAAAAGCCCACGTCACAGCTCCACTTAAAAATATCACACAAAATGGCAAACCGGTTTTTCAATCTATTTCTTCTTCTATCTTTTCTTTTTGCATTATTTATTTTTGCAAATTAATGTCAGTATTTTTTCATTGTTAATATTTATATAAGCGTGTAGCAGTTTCTCTCTCTCTCTCTCTCTCTCTCTCTCCCTGTATCTCTCTCGCTGCTTTTGTTGACTTATTAGTTGCTTATATGATTTATTGTTAATGGCAAAAAATAGAAAATAAATGAATTCAGCAAATTGCTAATTACTTGGATCAAATTAGCTTATACTTAAAAAAAAATCGACAAAAATAATGAGCATAATTAATTAAGTGCATATTATGTTTGTCTATTTTAATCACTCCATATTTAACTCAAGTGTATTTTTTTTAAATATTTTGCATTATTTATAATTTTTGGTTTAGGCACGATGTGCGTAAAAACTTGCTATCGAATCTAGTTTTTAGTTGTGAGATTAATAGTCAATTTATGCATATTAATGCGCAATAAAAACATGGCTTACACCGGCCAACAAGG